GTCCAAGCCAGGCATTTTGCTCCGAACCTCCTTCCGCCCCCTGGAATTGAGCAAGCGCGGGACAAGGAAAAGAAGCAGATATGGTTCAGTAATCTCGGTCGTCTCTCCATACAACGTTGGTGATCGCTGGCGGTCCTTGCGCGAGAGCATTCGTCGAGGTAACAGCTAAAGATATCTTGGCGGAGGCAAGAAAGAAGAATTTGCTTAGGATCCTAAAATGCCATCGCCTGATGTCTAGATTAGTTACCATGGCAATGTCCAAAGGTAGTTACAAAATTACTGGTTAACCATTGTCATAGCAACTAATTTTGTCGTCAACGCGATCTCTCTTAGCTCATTGATATTAAGATTATACACCTGATTGGAGAAAACGTTGTCCAAAAAAAGTATGAACCATAAACTGTACAACTTCGTAGAATTATGGGAAGACTGAAAAAGCGTGCATATGATTATGATCATGTACTATACTCCGCTTTAATTCCACAGCCACTTTAGGTATCATGGTAGGCGGATTGACAGTGTTTGGAAATCGCGCTCTTACGCTGGCACTTTAAAAGAAAACCTCATCAACCTAAACATTTTCTGAAAGCTTAATAGTAATAGAATACAATCATATCAGGCTTTGAAATTTTCTAAAAAGTTATTGTCGTAGTAATATTAAAAGAGATACCCAGAAACACTGCTTCGTCTCCGCGCGTGAATTATCGGAGCGGCGCAATTATCATCGGAAATGTTTTCTCACACATCACCCTCAAAAAGAATGTCGGCGATTTTCCAGATGTGGTTTGGGTTTTTTTCTTCACCCTCCTAAAGTTTGATATTTTCAATGCGGACGTTTCNGTCCAAGCCAGGCATTTTGCTCCGAACCTCCTTCCGCCCCCTGGAATTGAGCAAGCGCGGGACAAGGAAAAGAAGCAGATATGGTTCAGTAATCTCGGTCGTCTCTCCATACAACGTTGGTGATCGCTGGCGGTCCTTGCGCGAGAGCATTCGTCGAGGTAACAGCTAAAGATATCTTGGCGGAGGCAAGAAAGAAGAATTTGCTTAGGATCCTAAAATGCCATCGCCTGATGTCTAGATTAGTTACCATGGCAATGTCCAAAGGTAGTTACAAAATTACTGGTTAACCATTCTCATAGCAACTAATTTTGTCGTCAACGCGATCTCTCTTAGTTCATTGATATTAAGATTATACACCTGATTGGAAAAACGTTGTCCAAACAAAAGTATGAACCATAAACTGTACAACTTCGTAGAATTATGGGAAGACTGAAAAAGCGTGCATATAATTATGATCATGTACTATACCCCGCTTTAATTCCACAGCCACTTAAGGTATCATGGTAGGCGGATTGACAGTGTTTGGAAATCGCGCTCTTACGCTGGCGCTTTAAAAGAAAACCTCATCAACCTAAACATTTTCTGAAAGTTTAATAGTTATAGAATACAATCATATCTTTGAAATTTTCTAAAAAGTTATTGTCGTAGTAATATTAAAAGAGATACCCAGAAACACTGCTTTGCCTCCGCGCGTAAATTATCTCGTGAATTATCGGAGCGGCGCGACTATCATCGGAAATGTTTTCTCACACATCACCCTCAAAAAGAATGTCGGCGATTTTCCAGATGTGGTTTGGGTTTTTTTCTTCACCCTCCTAAAGTTTGATATTTTCAATGCGGACGTTTCCTCCTACCTAAAGGGCTCTTTATATGATCCCGGTAACCGGGCTGGCTCGGTTACCGGGACGAATTTTGATGTCCGGTTCATGTGGGAAATTTCACCTCGGTCGACCAAGATGAAATTCAAGGGACAAAACCATAATGTTGGGATAAAACTTGTATCGTTCGCGACTATTGTAGCTTTGTGGACTCTTGTAGTTTAACTGATAAAGGTAATTATTCGCATACTTCAGAAGTGTAGTTACATGTATACAAGACAGAAATTATGCCATTTTGGCCGCTATGTTGCGAAAGCGAAGCTATTTTGTCAAAAATTAATGTTTCGTCCCGGTCACCAGGGCTGGAGTGTTCATATGGGAAAATTTTCATCCCGGTTACCGAGATCTCGGTCGCAAAAATCGAGATCTCGGTAACCGGGCCAGCCCGGCTTCTCATATGCACAAATCTAAATTTTTACGAAGAAAAGAGTGGCTAGGCGAGATCTCGGAAACCGAGCCAGCCCGGATCGACCGGGCTCATATGAAGAGGCCCTTAGCTGTGTTCACAACTGCGACGAGCATTCATGTCCTTACATCTCAGTTCTCCGCTGTTCAAATATGTGATCTTTCATCGGTATGGTTTACTTGCAAAGAAATTGTCTTGTCCGTGTCAAAATTCACCCCAAAAAGAGACTTATTAAACTAAAGGCCTTTTCTGCCCAGTTTGTCGGCTAAGTTGTGATACGTGCCTTGAACATTAATGATCGGCGTTTTATTGAGTTTCCAAGTGTCATTTCTTGTCACGGGCACTCCTTTTGAACAATTGAACAAAGGCTGATATTGTTTAAAGTAAGATCAGAAAGGTCGACCCTCGTGTGGCTAGTAAGGTCTCCAAATTATATTCTTTCCTCAAAGATTCGTTGATAATCCATTAATTGAGCTGGTCTGTTCTTGTTTGACGGCCTGAGAATAGAGGACCCCACTTGAAGGTCGATGTTTGATCATTGAGCAAACAAATAACTAACAATGCGCGTCTAAATAATTACAAAAAATTAACAATTCTATGGTTACCAGGTCCTGAGTGTATTTTCAAGAGTAATTAAACCAATCCCTTTACGAAAATGTTCCCTTTGTGAAGAAACAGGCTTGAAATTATCCTCAGAGAAAAACGTCTTCTTTCTGTGTCGAAGAGAAGCGTAACTTTGGATTTCGGAACTCGTTCTTAGTGAGGCGAGTATAGCAAAAAAAAAGTAGTCAACTGTTGAAAGCTTAAGGGTAAAGCCATGTAATTAACGGAACAATAAGAAATCTATCATTGGACAGCTCAAGATAAACGATTGTTTTATTGAATACTTCGGCGTTTATGTTTCTGGGTTGTTTTCTTTTATGATTTTACTTCACTCCACTGAAGAAAGTTTGTATACTGAGGCGAAGCGATAAAACGTTGCTAAGTTAGAACGTCTGCTTGGAGGAAGCGTTATCTTGGGTAATACTGCTAAACCTTGTGCAAGCTTAATCCACCAAGTTTCTTTAAGCGTAAGCCAGGGCTTAGATGGAAACTAATTGAATCGGAACATTGGCAAACTGAAAGAGCAAGCCTAGCGCTCCACTTGCGAAGTGAACTGTAGAATGGACAAGGAGCATATCAAAGTGAAACGACTGTATTCAGTGGCTGATTCAAGAAGCTTGGGCGAAGACGAAAGCATTACATCACTGCCTACACCACAGTTCCTCGTCCGAGGAAGAAATGGTGGCGACATAGCCACGTTTTCGTTGGTTCAGACTAAAAAGGGCAAAACCGAAGGGAAGGAAATTAAAGGCAAGATGGCGAGAAACAGTCCTCCGGTCTCGCGACTCAGGTTGCGTTCCAGTTCGGGCCGCGTGTTGAGTGATGGCAAATGCGCTGGAAATGCAAATTTAGAGAGTACAGCTGAAGACTGCACCATTAATAGGTCTCGTAGTGGAAGCGGTTCTATGGTCTTCTCTTCTGTTAAAGACAGGAAAGAGGCCAAATTTTCTAATGCACGAGGCTACCCTATCAATCTGCCTTCGGCGGATCCAATACAAAGTGTTTTAGAAAGACTGCAATTTTGGAACAAAGATGAAGGGATCAAGCAAGACCAGAGACTTCACAGTCGAGCAGTTTCCTTTTCAAATCAGTCTCTCTTGCATTCAGCAATATCACGTGATGATGCCGTGGAGCTTAGCGACCTTATTGACAGTGAGAACCCGGATCTAAATGCCCCGGATGAAGTCGGCATCACACTGCTTCACCGCGCAGCCATCGATGGAAGTTACCGCTGTCTCAATTTTCTTCTCTCTCGAGGCGCTAATGTGGACGTGACGGATTTTGAAGGCTGGACTCCACTCCACGACTCAGTGTTCCATGGGCATATCCGCTGTGCGGTTATTCTTCTTATCTCGGGCGCTGACGTGGAGGCAGAGACAAAGGACTTCCTTAAACCAATAGAAATGGCGGAAGACGAGGAAATGATTTTAGTGGTAGGCAGATCTATGGCATTGAATAAGACTGGACAAAATCCAAATTATGATAAAGAAACTCTGGTTTAAAATCAAGATAATACCTACCTAATGGGTGTCTTATTTTAAGAATGCAGTAACTGAAAATACTAAGAACAATTTGAAGCTATCAACGTTTACCTTTCTTTACGGTCGTGAAGCTGAGGGAATTTGAAGATATGTTTTTAGCTTGGCCACTTTGGAAACACGCCAGACAACGCGCGAGGCCTACTCTTTCCTCGCGCGCCCCTTCAAATCATACTCCATCCCATACCTGAGGTGCTCAGCCTGTGTTATCAAGGGACAGTGAGGAAATTTCTGCCTACCGCTAAGCCCTTGCATACGGCTGCTGCGCCCGCAGTACGAGCGGCAGTCAAAACTGAGCTGTCCTACCCAAACGATAGAATAATATCTTTTTTCTTCGAAGCTAACAAAAATAAAGACAATGCTAAAGTTGCTTTGGCCTCTTCTAATAGTTAACTTGACAATTCCGGGCTTATTTTGACGAGGAACAGCATATTTTGTTCAAAATGACACAACTACTACCCTATCTCGCGACACTCGACGAACTGCGAGCGAGTTGTGCTGCCGGACGCTGGCGACCCATTGTTGGCGGCAAATTGGAAGCTTGGAGACTGAAAATGTTTCATATTTTTTACTTTTTACAATCTGATATGGCTTTTGGAATTGTAAATCCCTTTTCGTGAATATTTAATGCTATCTGCAGTAAGAAAATTTGCCTGATTTCAATGCTATTCCTTTTAACTTACATTGACGTCAGGACAGTAAAGTTTTTCCGGCCTGCTGAATCCTGATTGGTCGATTCAAATTTCAGGCGAGCGAGCCGTATGCAAGGCGAATGGGCGTACAGAAAGACGCATTTATAGGAGTCTGTTTGATTAGAACAATAAAAGAAATTTGTGTTACGTCTAAACAAAATGTCTTCTTGTTGTTAGGCCAATGATATGTAATTAACGAACCCTTGCGAAGCTTAATGCGTATGGGCGAAAATGGTCTGAGCACGTATAATTACAGCAAAACCTTTGTTTGTGTGACAGTAAAGAAAGTTTCATATATGAACGATGAATCGTGAATTTCCTTGCTGTCTAGACAACTTGCTAATCTCCTAAAGAAGTAGGAAATTACTTGAAAAGCCATTTTTCTTATCTGGTCTCTTAGCTTGACATTGTCAATCGGGTGCTAAATAATTAACAATTAGTGGCTAATGAACCAAATTAATATTTAATATACCTTTAATGGTACTAGAACAAAGGACACAAGCGTGCTCACGTGCATTCGAACAAAAAACTGACATAAGTTGTTATGTAACTTGGAAGTTGTCGTCAGCCAGAATGTAAACGGTCTTTAACAGCGGCTCTCCGCACACACTTAGGGCGTGGACATTCTGCAGCGACAGTTTTCCTTGTGTGACATGCCCGTTTTTGCGGAAAAGTTCTTTTGCGGGGACAAAAGTTTGTCCCCGCAACATTTTGCATGAAATTCATCATGCATCATGAAGTAGGGACAAAATGACCGCAATTTTCAACGCCGCGTCGTGTGCAACTCTTGCAAACTGTTCGGCCCACCACGACACATTTGTACGTCTCAATCCGCTTCGTGTGTCCCAGCTTGCGAACTGTTCCTGCCACAAGCCCCTTTGCGTCCACGCCAAGGGGCTTGTCCCTGCTTCACGTCCCTGTAACATGTCTGCTAGTGTGTATTAGAGTGTGCCGGGCCGTTAAGTCTTAACAGTAAACCGCAAGCCTGGAAAGTTTATCAGCATTACAATGTTATTATCGACAGGAAATGATTAGAGCAGATAGCTTGTTTTAACATTTGCATGTCAGTGTAATCAGAAGGACCTCAACAACCACCGCCCACCCCTCACCCCACGGAGGAATCCCTTGTAAAAGAAAAGCTGCCGAGGTGATTGTCAGAAAATTTAGAAGCATTCTCTGAAAGGTACCAGAATCCCGGCCTGTCAATCAAATTTTCCAGAGCATCCCGTCAACCCTTGTCTTTTGAACCTATGCCGCGTAAATTGGTTTTTAGAAAAATATGTAATTCACAAAGGTTCAAAATTGAAAAAAAGTGACCATAATCTTTGCAAAACTATGTAACTCACAAAGGTTCAAAATTGAAAAAAAAAGTGACAATAACATTTGCAGTTGTTTACGTTTTTCATGAAACTGGGTTACAGTGAAAGACGCCTTAAAAAAAATTACAAAAACAGACATAAATTTCTGGGCTTTAATGAGATTTGAAATTTTGACTTGTCACTGCACGATCAAGCTTAAATCTAAAACATATCATCTCAATTAAGGTGAACAAATTCGTCTGTGTACTTTTGTACCTTGATTTGTATAAAGGTGGAGCTTAAAAGGCCCACGAGCTCGCCATCTCGACTCCAGAGAATAGGCGGCGATACCTGTGAAAAGAAAACGCACTGAAAAAGGAACAGGGGGGCGAAAAGGCGGTTGGAAAGGAAATGGCACTAGTTAACGCGGGAAGATTCGAAGGCCATTCATTCAAGTAAAGCTGTTGATTTGAAAACAGCGGAAACCTCAAAGAGATGTCGAAGGAGTATTTTAAAAGCCACGGTTTTCTCTGAAAGAAAGTCGGCAAGTTAAAACAAAACTTACAATGACCATGTTGTGGAGTTGAACAAAAGTTTTCTTTAAAAGATTTAACAAATTTGCATGAAAGTGGCGATTATGTATAACATGTACCTTTTTCTCATTTGTTTCGCAATTTTAATGCAATTTGGACGCAAGAATTTCGTACAAGTCTGTCTTTTGGCGTCACCTTGAGCAGTTAATGTTCATTTACGAAAGAAGATGAAAAAAGAAATTGTCTGTACACTTTTGTCTTTCTTAACACAATACGTCGTACATTGAAAGGCAAACTTCTTAATTCATTTTTCATAAAAAGGTGGAGTTCTACTCTATTCTCGAACAAATTTCAAGTGGGCGAACAAATTCAGAGAAGAATGACAAAGCAAGATTGTTCGATAGCTACGTTTGAACAATTCGGCGTTCAAAAATTTCGTGATCAATAGCCTTTGATTTAGCGGCATGCAATCTCGCCAGGAACTTTTAAAGTGAACTACTGATTAGTGGTTGCTCAAGGGAATTACGTCAATACTTTAATACCATAACAATGTAGTCTTGGTATTTGTTTGACAAACAAAATATCCACCGGTCGGTCGGTTATATAAGGTCTTTAGACCCGCATGGTAGCCAAATACATTTGAGCGCAAAGTCAATGATCTTTGGAGTTTTCGTTCCCTCAGGCGAGATTGTAGGCGTACACGGAATTATTAACCGTCACAGCTGATCAAAACACAGACAGAAAAGAAAGACTAAGGTGATAAACAGTGTCATTGATACAGATTGTCACATGATGTGGGCCTTACATAGAGCATGTCAAGAGGGCAATTTAATTTTGGTGTCCATTTTGCTGGAGAGAGGTCTGAACGTAAATGCAAAGGACAAACAAGGACGGACTCCACTTCATATCGCCTCGGAGACAGGCGACAAATTGCTGGCGGAGTTGTTATTTCAGCGGGGGGCAGATACCTGTTCCGTGTGCTCTCGCGGGAGTATTCCGTTAGACTGCAGTCGAGATGATGAAATGACCTTGATGCTTGTTCAAATGATGTCACGGACAGGCAAAGCTGAACTAGCTAAAGATAGATTACAATTTGAAGAATTATCTGAAAAAGCCAGGCAGACAGTCGCAAAGGCATTGGACGTGAAAACAACAAGAAAGAAATCTCCTCCAGTACTCTCATCTCAGTTCTTGAACAAACGAACCTTCGCAAACCTTTTTGGAATAAAAGACGCTGTTTCGCGACTTTCGAGCCTCTCTAACGTTTCGGACAGTAGCAGGTGCAGCGAAAGCGAGTCTGGTTTCTCGGAAATGGACAAATCATCCGACAGTACTTCTATGGAGTCTGTTCAAACGAACGAATCCGTTTCAAGTGGTTTCGTGTCAGTCGATGAACTTTCCCCAGAGTCTTTCAACAGGCGCGCGACGACGGCGCTGACGAAACAAGAGTTTGCCGCGCTGAACCGTTCTCCGTTCATGCTGCGCCGAAACCGCGCCGTGTCAGAACCGCCGCCAAAACGGACAATCAAGCGATCGTCAACTTGGAATATCAGCAGCAAAAGCACCAGCACGTTTCCTCGCCCCGCGCTAAGAAGACGCGTTACATTCCCGGCTGACATTATGTTGGACGTAGCGATCAAGAGTGACGATTTCGTCGAAACGTGTCACCTGATTAAGTCAAGAAAAGTCGATTTTAATCGCGTCGGGTGTAATGGTCTCACACCGCTCCATCGCGCGGCGATCGAGGGTAGTTACGAATGCCTTCAACTTTTGGTCGATCTAGGAGCAAATGTAAACGCTCGGAGTGTATTAGGTTGGACACCACTGCACGATGCTGTTTTTCACGAACATGTGAGTTGCGCACTGGTTTTAATAAACGCTGGCGCCGATCTAAGCGCTGAAACGGACGACTTCATGACTGTATTGGACATGGTAAAAACTGACCGAATGCTCTCAGCAATTGGTCGAGCTATGATTGTAACAAATAGCGACGGGGATAAAAACAAACTACGTTACTGCAAACAAGAAGTGTTTGAACCTGTGTTCGACCCCGATAGAGAAACCTGTGTGTAATATAAGATAAACATAGTTTTTCGTGCTGTTGCGGAAATCTAAGTGTTCGTTTCTTAATTTCTTCAGCGAACACCGAACTCATTCAGCTGTACAAAAGGTCAACAGCACTTGGCAAAAAGTATATGGCTGATAAACAGTTTGAGATTGTAAAGTAAATATAATTTTGCTAATAAAAGACATCACAATTAGAGAGTTGCTACTATTTACTTTAGTTAGTGAGCTGTGCGATGACTCTGCGATTGAAGTCCAGGCAAAACGAGAAGTTAGCAGGTAAAATTTCGAAGGTCAAAGGTTTGTTAAAGGTTTCACTTGCAACAAGAAGGTCATTGTAAAGATACACAGAGGTCAGTGTCAAACTTTATAGTAAGTTGTTTATTTGCCTGCGTTGTTTGTTTGTCGTATTTATTTAAGCTGTCGAAAGAACAATGCTTAGATGATTGAACCAATTCTAAAAAGCCTATCTGCCCCAAAGCTTTGTTCAAGTTTGTCAGGCAAAGTGTCAAATGTTTTCCAAACACACAATTCCCCTGAAAATAACTTGAAAATTCTTAAAAAGTTAATCTCTAAAGCAAGTGTAGGTTTTATCACCTACTTGTTCTCTATAAGAACCAATTTCAAGCTAGCTGTTAATTAAATATTACGAGCTACGAACAATGGCAAAATTTACACACGTTTTTTACTACGAAATAGCACTTTATACCTTGCATTCAAAGGCTCAAACCGACAAAACAGGTGTAATTCTCTCTTGTGTGCAAAGCAAATGTCATCTACTCGATGCTCGTCTTTTCCCTCCAGAAACACTCAAAAAAGTACGCTAATTAGAGTTGGCTCCGTTTACATTGACTTGCTTTGTTGATTTCCCTTATCACAATAATTACCATTAGCAATTTACACTGTTCTGTTCTCCATACAAAGGAATCTCTTAAACAATCCAAATTTTAAAGTAAATCACAGCCACGCTGTTTAAATTTATCGGCCAAACTCGGAATTTCCAACAAAGAAAATTGTAAAGAAAAAGAGATTCTTCCAAGACTTACAACTTAACGCGCTTTTAAATTTAATCTCTGTAAAACAATTCGGTATCTTTGAGAAGACGGTAGGGCATTCTTATGTCGTTTTCATTTTCTCCTCTTGACCACCAAAGCCCGCAATATCACTTATAACGCATTTCAATGGGAAAATGATGTAGGTGGTATATTTTGGTGATGGTTAGTCGACTAAAACAGCTATAACAGCAATTAGCTTTGATTCAACGTGTGCAGGTCGCTAGAAAATAAACAACAGTCAACACGTGTGCATAGTGCTGTTTCAATGGTTCATGTCTATTTTCATTGATTACAGAGACTGGTTTTAAACTGGTTACTAGTTGGGAAAAGCTCTGTTACTTAATGAAAACTGGTCAATGCATGAGCCAGGAAATGCCAGTGAAAAGTAACAGAAATTAAAGGAGCTTAGTCACGGTGTTTTGNAGACTAAAAAGGGCAAAACCGAAGGGAAGGAAATTAAAGGCAAGATGGCGAGAAACAGTCCTCCGGTCTCGCGACTCAGGTTGCGTTCCAGTTCGGGCCGCGTGTTGAGTGATGGCAAATGCGCTGGAAATGCAAATTTAGAGAGTACAGCTGAAGACTGCACCATTAATAGGTCTCGTAGTGGAAGCGGTTCTATGGTCTTCTCTTCTGTTAAAGACAGGAAAGAGGCCAAATTTTCTAATGCACGAGGCTACCCTATCAATCTGCCTTCGGCGGATCCAATACAAAGTGTTTTAGAAAGACTGCAATTTTGGAACAAAGATGAAGGGATCAAGCAAGACCAGAGACTTCACAGTCGAGCAGTTTCCTTTTCAAATCAGTCTCTCTTGCATTCAGCAATATCACGTGATGATGCCGTGGAGCTTAGCGACCTTATTGACAGTGAGAACCCGGATCTAAATGCCCCGGATGAAGTCGGCATCACACTGCTTCACCGCGCAGCCATCGATGGAAGTTACCGCTGTCTCAATTTTCTTCTCTCTCGAGGCGCTAATGTGGACGTGACGGATTTTGAAGGCTGGACTCCACTCCACGACTCAGTGTTCCATGGGCATATCCGCTGTGCGGTTATTCTTCTTATCTCGGGCGCTGACGTGGAGGCAGAGACAAAGGACTTCCTTAAACCAATAGAAATGGCGGAAGACGAGGAAATGATTTTAGTGGTAGGCAGATCTATGGCATTGAATAAGACTGGACAAAATCCAAATTATGATAAAGAAACTCTGGTTTAAAATCAAGATAATACCTACCTAATGGGTGTCTTATTTTAAGAATGCAGTAACTGAAAATACTAAGAACAATTTGAAGCTATCAACGTTTACCTTTCTTTACGGTCGTGAAGCTGAGGGAATTTGAAGATATGTTTTTAGCTTGGCCACTTTGGAAACACGCCAGACAACGCGCGAGGCCTACTCTTTCCTCGCGCGCCCCTTCAAATCATACTCCATCCCATACCTGAGGTGCTCAGCCTGTGTTATCAAGGGACAGTGAGGAAATTTCTGCCTACCGCTAAGCCCTTGCATACGGCTGCTGCGCCCGCAGTACGAGCGGCAGTCAAAACTGAGCTGTCCTACCCAAACGATAGAATAATATCTTTTTTCTTCGAAGCTAACAAAAATAAAGACAATGCTAAAGTTGCTTTGGCCTCTTCTAATAGTTAACTTGACAATTCCGGGCTTATTTTGACGAGGAACAGCATATTTTGTTCAAAATGACACAACTACTACCCTATCTCGCGACACTCGACGAACTGCGAGCGAGTTGTGCTGCCGGACGCTGGCGACCCATTGTTGGCGGCAAATTGGAAGCTTGGAGACTGAAAATGTTTCATATTTTTTACTTTTTACAATCTGATATGGCTTTTGGAATTGTAAATCCCTTTTCGTGAATATTTAATGCTATCTGCAATAAGAAAATTTGCCTGATTTCAATGCTATTCCTTTTAACTTACATTGACGTCAGGACAGTAAAGTTTTTCCGGCCTGCTGAATCCTGATTGGTCGACTCAAATTTCAGGCGAGCGAGCCGTATGCAAGGCGAATGGGCGTACAGAAAGACGCATTTATAGGAGTCTGTTTGATTAGAACAATAAAAGAAATTTGTGTTACGTCTAAACAAAATGTCTTCTTGTTGTTAGGCCAATGATATGTAATTAACGAACCCTTGCGAAGCTTAATGCGTATGGGCGAAAATGGTCTGAGCACGTATAATTACAGCAAAACCTTTGTTTGTGTGACAGTAAAGAAAGTTTCATATATGAACGATGAATCGTGAATTTCCTTGCTGTCTAGACAACTTGCTAATCTCCTAAAGAAGTAGGAAATTACTTGAAAAGCCATTTTTCTTATCTGGTCTCTTAGCTTGACATTGTCAATCGGGTGCTAAATAATTAACAATTAGTGGCTAATGAACCAAATTAATATTTAATATACCTTTAATGGTACTAGAACAAAGGACACAAGCGTGCTCACGTGCATTCGAACAAAAAACTGACATAAGTTGTTATGTAACTTGGAAGTTGTCGTCAGGCAGAATGTAAACGGTCTTTAACAGCGGCTCTCCGCACACACTTAGGGCGTGGACATTCTGCAGCGACAGTTTTCCTTGTGTGACATGCCCGTTTTTGCGGAAAAGTTCTTTTGCGGGGACAAAAGTTTGTCCCCGCAACATTTTGCATGAAATTCATCATGCATCATGAAGTAGGGACAAAATGACCGCAATTTTCAACGCCGCGTCGTGTGCAACTCTTGCAAACTGTTCGGCCCACCACGACACATTTGTACGTCTCAATCCGCTTCGTGTGTCCCAGCTTGCGAACTGTTCCTGCCACAAGCCCCTTTGCGTCCACGCCAAGGGGCTTGTCCCTGCTTCACGTCCCTGTAACATGTCTGCTAGTGTGTATTAGAGTGTGCCGGGCCGTTAAGTCTTAACAGTAAACCGCAAGCCTGGAAAGTTTATCAGCATTACAATGTTATTATCGACAGGAAATGATTAGAGCAGATAGCTTGTTTTAACATTTGCATGTCAGTGTAATCAGAAGGACCTCAACAACCACCGCCCACCCCTCACCCCACGGAGGAATCCCTTGTAAAAGAAAAGCTGCCGAGGTGATTGTCAGAAAATTTAGAAGCATTCTCTGAAAGGTACCAGAATCCCGGCCTGTCAATCAAATTTTCCAGAGCATCCCGTCAACCCTTGTCTTTTGAACCTATGCCGCGTAAATTGGTTTTTAGAAAAATATGTAATTCACAAAGGTTCAAAATTGAAAAAAAGTGACCATAATCTTTGCAAAACTATGTAACTCACAAAGGTTCAAAATTGAAAAAAAAAGTGACAATAACATTTGCAGTTGTTTACGTTTTTCATGAAACTGGGTTACAGTGAAAGACGCCTTAAAAAAAATTACAAAAACAGACATAAATTTCTGGGCTTTAATGAGATTTGAAATTTTGACTTGTCACTGCACGATCAAGCTTAAATCTAAAACATATCATCTCAATTAAGGTGAACAAATTCGTCTGTGTACTTTTGTACCTTGATTTGTATAAAGGTGGAGCTTAAAAGGCCCACGAGCTCGCCATCTCGACTCCAGAGAATAGGCGGCGATATCTGTGAAAAGAAAACGCACTGAAAAAGGAACAGGGGGGCGAAAAGGCGGTTGGAAAGGAAATGGCACTAGTTAACGCGGGAAGATTCGAAGGCCATTCATTCAAGTAAAGCTGTTGATTTGAAAACAGCGGAAACCTCAAAGAGATGTCGAAGGAGTATTTTAAAAGCCACGGTTTTCTCTGAAAGAAAGTCGGCAAGTTAAAACAAAACTTACAATGACCATGTTGTGGAGTTGAACAAAAGTTTTCTTTAAAAGATTTAACAAATTTGCATGAAAGTGGCGATTATGTATAACATGTACCTTTTTCTCATTTGTTTCGCAATTTTAATGCAATTTGGACGCAAGAATTTCGTACAAGTCTGTCTTTTGGCGTCACCTTGAGCAGTTAATGTTCATTTACGAAAGAAGATGAAAAAAGAAATTGTCTGTACACTTTTGTCTTTCTTAACACAATACGTCGTACATTGAAAGGCAAACTTCTTAATTCATTTTTCATAAAAAGGTGGAGTTCTACTCTATTCTCGAACAAATTTCAAGTGGGCGAACAAATTCAGAGAAGAATGACAAAGCAAGATTGTTCGATAGCTACGTTTGAACAATTCGGCGTTCAAAAATTTCGTGATCAATAGCCTTTGATTTAGCGGCATGCAATCTCGCCAGGAACTTTTAAAGTGAACTACTGATTAGTGGTTGCTCAAGGGAATTACGTCAATACTTTAATACCATAACAATGTAGTCTTGGTATTTGTTTGACAAACAAAATATCCACCGGTCGGTCGGTTATATAAGGTCTTTAGACCCGCATGGTAGCCAAATACATTTGAGCGCAAAGTCAATGATCTTTGGAGTTTTCGTTCCCTCAGGCGAGATTGTAGGCGTACACGGAATTATTAACCGTCACAGCTGATCAAAACACAGACAGAAAAGAAAGACTAAGGTGATAAACAGTGTCATTGATACAGATTGTCACATGATGTGGGCCTTACATAGAGCATGTCAAGAGGGCAATTTAATTTTGGTGTCCATTTTGCTGGAGAGAGGTCTGAACGTAAATGCAAAGGACAAACAAGGACGGACTCCACTTCATATCGCCTCGGAGACAGGCGACAAATTGCTGGCGGAGTTGTTATTTCAGCGGGGGGCAGATACCTGTTCCGTGTGCTCTCGCGGGAGTATTCCGTTAGACTGCAGTCGAGATGATGAAATGACCTTGATGCTTGTTCAAATGATGTCACGGACAGGCAAAGCTGAACTAGCTAAAGATAGATTACAATTTGAAGAATTATCTGAAAAAGCCAGGCAGACAGTCGCAAAGGCATTGGACGTGAAAACAACAAGAAAGAAATCTCCTCCAGTACTCTCATCTCAGTTCTTGAACAAACGAACCTTCGCAAACCTTTTTGGAATAAAAGACGCTGTTTCGCGACTTTCGAGCCTCTCTAACGTTTCGGACAGTAGCAGGTGCAGCGAAAGCGAGTCTGGTTTCTCGGAAATGGACAAATCATCCGACAGTACTTCTATGGAGTCTGTTCAAACGAACGAATCCGTTTCAAGTGGTTTCGTGTCAGTCGATGAACTTTCCCCAGAGTCTTTCAACAGGCGCGCGACGACGGCGCTGACGAAACAAGAGTTTGCCGCGCTGAACCGTTCTCCGTTCATGCTGCGCCGAAACCGCGCCGTGTCAGAACCGCCGCCAAAACGGACAATCAAGCGATCGTCAACTTGGAATATCAGCAGCAAAAGCACCAGCACGTTTCCTCGCCCCGCGCTAAGAAGACGCGTTACATTCCCGGCTGACATTATGTTGGACGTAGCGATCAAGAGTGACGATTTCGTCGAAACGTGTCACCTGATTAAGTCAAGAAAAGTCGATTTTAATCGCGTCGGGTGTAATGGTCTCACACCGCTCCATCGCGCGGCGATCGAGGGTAGTTACGAATGCCTTCAACTTTTGGTCGATCTAGGAGCAAATGTAAACGTTCGGAGTGTATTAGGTTGGACACCACTGCACGATGCTGTTTTTCACGAACATGTGAGTTGCGCACTGGTTTTAATAAACGCTGGCGCCGATCTAAGCGCTGAAACGGACGACTTCATGACTGTATTGGACATGGTAAAAACTGACCGAATGCTCTCAGCAATTGGTCGAGCTATGATTGTAACAAATAGCGACGGGGATAAAAACAAACTACGTTACTGCAAACAAGAAGTGTTTGAACCTGTGTTCGACCCCGATAGAGAAACCTGTGTGTAATATAAGATAAACATAGTTTTTCGTGCTGTTGCGGAAATCTAAGTGTTCGTTTCTTAATTTCTTCAGCGAACACCGAACTCATTCAGCTGTACAAAAGGTCAACAGCACTTGGCAAAAAGTATATGGCTGATAAACAGTTTGAGATTGTAAAGTAAATATAATATTGCTAATAAAAGACATCACAATTAGAGAGTTGCTACTATTTACTTTAGTTAGTGAGCTGTGCGATGACTCTGCGATTGAAGTCCAGGCAAAACGAGAAGTTAGCAGGTAAAATTTCGAAGGTCAAAGGTTTGTTAAAGGTTTCACTTGCAACAAGAAGGTCATTGTAAAGATACACAGAGGTCAGTGTCAAACTTTATAGTAAGTTGTTTATTTGCCTGCGTTGTTTGTTTGTCGTATTTATTTAAGCTGTCGAAAGAACAATGCTTAGATGATTGAACCAATTCTAAAAAGCCTATCTGCCCCAAAGCTTTGTTCAAGTTTGTCAGGCAAAGTGTCAAATGTTTTCCAAACACACAATTCCCCTGAAAATAACTTGAAAATTCTTAAAAAGTTACTCTCTAAAGCAAGTGTAGGTTTTATCACCTACTTGTTCTCTATAAGAACCAATTTCAAGCTAGCTGTTAATTAAATATTACGAGCTACGAACAATGGCAAAATTTACACACGTTTTTTACTACGAAATAGCACTTTATACCTTGCATTCAAAGGCTCAAACCGACAAAACAGGTGTAATTCTCTCTTGTGTGCAAAGCAAATGTCATCTACTCGATGCTCGTCTTTTCCCTCCAGAAACACTCAAAAAAGTACGCTAATTAGAGTTGGCTCCGTTTACATTGACTTGCTTTGTTGATTTCCCTTATCACAATAATTACCATTAGCAATTTACACTGTTCTGTTCTCCATACAAAGGAATCTCTTAAACAATCCAAATTTTAAAGTAAATCACAGCCACGCTGTTTAAATTTATCGGCCAAACTCGGAATTTCCAACAAAGAAAATTGTAAAGAAAAAGAGATTCTTCCAAGACTTACAACTTAACGCGCTTTTAAATTTAATCTCTGTAAAACAATTCGGTATCTTTGAGAAGACGGTAGGGCATTCTTATGTCGTTTTCATTTTCTCCTCTTGACCACCAAAGCCCGCAATATCACTTATAACGCATTTCAATGGGAAAATGATGTAGGTGGTATATTTTGGTGATGGTTAGTCGACTAAAACAGCTATAACAGCAATTAGCTTTGATTCAACGTGTGCAGGTCGCTAGAAAATAAACAACAGTCAACACGTGTGCATAGTGCTGTTTCAATGGTTCATGTCTATTTTCATTGATTACAGAGACTGGTTTTAAACTGGTTACTAGTTGGGAAAAGCTCTGTTACTTAATGAAAACTGGTCAATGCATGAGCCAGGAAATGCCAGTGAAAAGTAACAGAAATTAAAGGAGCTTAGTCACGGTGTTTTGACGATAACTTTCTAAGTTCTGGGGTTCCTGGTTCCTGTCCTCTGACCTGGAAAAGATAATCGCTATATTTATCACCTGATGCATCAAGATATTAAAATTCACCAGAGAAACAACCAACCAAAGCATATTCAATTCAGTTATCATGCGAAGTTTGAAAGAAATGAGGTTGAAACCTACTTTACATTCAGCGAGGCGTTAAAGAAGCTCAGTCACGGTATTTTGAGGTCTTTTGGCTGAGTAAAAAATTACTTTGAAATTGACAGAAACCTGAAAATAAAAGTTTACTAATATGGAAGAACACCAAAGAGATAGTAATAAACCATAAAGGAACCAGCATGGTTAAGGATGGAGAAGATCAACGCGGATTACAAGGGACGAACTTGAAAGATTTAGGCTAAACTTTTTAAAATGCGCAAACCGTGACGTAGCTAACAAAATTACAACATTACGAGAGGTTAAAGTACGACGTTTACTCTTTACGGCAAACGGCGGTAAACTTTTGCCGCCTGTCTTCAGATGTTTGTAAAGTAGAATGAAAAAAATTGTATTTGCATTGAAAAGTAGGAGACGTTTAATGGTTAGGAGAAAAGACCGCAAAATCAGAGGTAATTTTTCCGTACGCCGTTTACCGTAAACGTGATGCTTAACCCCTCACACATTTTTATAGCTGTGTGGCAAAAACTGCCACCCCGTTTCCAAAATGTTTATACATTTATCACTTTGTAAAAGAAGATACACCATTGATTCTCTTCTCGTATTTATGCCATATTTACAGTCTCAACGTTTGCCAGGCTAACTTTCATTTCCGACAAACAAGCTACTATACCTTACCATTCATTTTCGTCAAAAACCCAACATCATGACTCCATCCACTCACAGTCCGCTTCATGCTTCCTGGCCTCACTCTGGCGCTACCAGTTACCATGGCAGCGCGGCTGTTACCTTGCCTCGATCCCATGGGGTGATACAAATCTATCGCCATGTTGTAAGACATAGCGGCTGGCGAAGGTTCATACTTCATGTAACCTGGCCGTCGTTTGCTTGCGGAGCGAGAATTCGCGTAGCCTATCGGCGGACCTTTTTCAATGGAACGTCCGTAAATGTGAATGCCATTTTGTTTAGGTCTACACGACGCAGGAGTCGATTGTGGCGGTTTCTTTGGTTTTGGATGTTTAGTTCTCGTGGAATTCTTCTCAATCTTTAGTCGCACGTGTTTTCTCCAGGCCAGCTGAATTGTAAGCGCAGCGACTTCTCTATTGAGTTCCTCCTGTTCATTTTTCACTTCTGAAAACATCAAATCGCGTTCAATATGTTCTCGCCTTATCGAAGTCCACTTCCTGTACCAGCGTTGAATCAAAACCGCCGCGTTCACTTTCGTGCGTATTAAATGAAGTCGTTCGCGCTCCCTTCGAGCCACTTCCGATTTCGAAGTAACGCTGTGCAATTTGTTCGCTGGTACCTTCTCAGGCAAATCCCTCTTTGGGTCACTATACCTCCGGAAGTTTTTATCATCATGAAATAATAACCCTTCCTCGAGTTCCACGTTTTCTTCTAATAACACTGAAGAAATAATCCTCATCAAGTCCGAGTTATTTTGAAAATTATTTTCCGATCCTTGTCTTGGAGAAGAATTTACCGAAGAAGAACGTTGTTCCTCGCTTGAACTGTGTAACAAATTAGCCACAAGTCTTTCTGTTGCGTTTTCCTGAGCGGTGTCGCCTGACAAAAACATTTCGTCAGCAGTACTGTCATTTTGCGCACGCCTTCGTTCATCACTGGAAGTTGAACACGGTTTGTCTTGATTTTCGTCCGTTGTGCTGGCTTCAAGGCTTATTCCGCTATCGTAAACGCTACAATGCGATTCCTCTCTGATGCTATAGAAGTATGGAAAGAGTCAATGGTTTGACAAAATCCCTGCATGTAGCTAGGAATGACACAGCTGGCTGATCAGTGATTAATTACCTATCACTTACAGGCAACGACTTCGCAAATCTAAACTGAACTAACTGTACTGCGAGAATTCTATTATTGCAAAGAGATTGTCACAACAATAGGGTACAAATGCCGAGGCCATAGTTAATAGAGGGAGATGGTTAAGAAACCTGGCAAAGTTCTTTGTCGTATGTTTTTGTTTGCTGTTTTGGGGGTTTACCCTGCACAAAACCTGGCAAGATACAAAAGGCACAAAAGGTGGTTATGTTTGCTCATACAACTAACCAACAGAAGCGTTGCGCTTATGTAATAAAGTCTCTGAGTATAACACAAAGATATGCAGGGTCAAGGACCTTCCAACATAAATCTTAGCCTGTTTGTTTGCTTCTTTGATGTTTACCGGCCTTCCTAACCATTTACCTCTATTAACTATGCTGAAACTGAGAAAATAAATGGAAAGATGATCTCTCGTCTTCTCTCTAGTTTTCTTTCCTAAACGTTTTTTGCCCCATTCCTCTCGATACATAATCCTGTATAAGAACGCGCAATATAACACGCACTGAAACACGTACTGGGACACGCGCAAGAACTCGCACTGAAACACGCACCAGACACGCACCAGACCACGCACTGAAACACCCACTGGGACACGCACAAGAACTCGCACTGAAACACGCACACGCACAAGAACTCGCACTGGAACACGCACCAGACACGCACCAGACCACGCACTGAAACACGTACTGGGACACGCGCAAGAACTCGCACTGAAACACGCACACGCACAAGAACTCGCACTGAAATACGCACACACACACACACACACAAGAACTCGCACTGAAACACGCAGAAGAACACGTAATAAAAGAAAAACTGGGACACGCACAGGAAATCGCACTGGAACACGTACAGATAAACGCACTGGAACACGAACACGTATAAGACCTCGCAGAGGCACGCGCACCGGAACACTCAAAACAACACGTAGTGGAACTATATCAAACAATTTAAATTACCTGGGGGATACAATGCGTGGAGACTGGATCTCAGGCAAGTCCAGAGATCTTTTTTGTTCAGCTGCACTTGCTCGTTTTTTCCCATGTAACGTTCTGTTGTGTCTTACTAACAACGGTTTCCGATCTTCAAATTCCTTGCGCACGTTGTAACCGCGCCAACACTTCTGAATGGTTGTGGCCGCGATGTCCTGGATGCCATTAATAGTCAGCGCTCCTTGTTCGATCATATACTGGACGTCAAAACAAATTCAGAGAGCTCACAATTATTTTCCGAAAAAATGTATGCATCTCCTCTGTTATTCCTGGCGAGCCACTGCTCCATTACTTCTTAAGTCAAAACTCACAATACATAAGCAGTCCATCGACAAAAATCCTTAGCGTGTGATCATTCAAATGAAAGCTATTGAGCAGTACTTTCATATGCTACTGCTGTACAAGATGGTTTTAATTAACTTCCAACTGGTTCTACGTTTGACGAGTAAATCGTAATGTGTGACCATTTAAATGAACGCTGCTGAACAGTACATTCATGTAATGTACATAATTCTTCCATTATCCCAAGCTGGAAATCTTGAAAAAAAATACACTTTCGTTGTCTAATACGGAGGTAATGCTTGTAAGAAGAAGAAAGAAGAAAGATTCCCTGTTACCTGGGCAACGTCCTGGTGGTCACCAATGATCGCGTAATCAAGAGGAGTCAGTCTGAAATGAAATAGAATCAACTAAGGTCGCTATATTATTATTATGTTTCACCACCGCTATTCCCTTTGTTTCTGAGACCGAGAGTTATCTTAAATCACAATCCAGAGTGAAACTATTACATTTCAAGAATAAAAGTTTTAAAAGACACGGTGACCTGGGTTCCCAGCCCAAGGCGGCCATTGTGTTGTGTTCTTGGGCAAGACACTTGGGCACTGACGAATTTAATGCAGAGGTAACCCTGAAATGGACCAGTATTCCATCCAGGGGGAGTAGAAATACTCCTAGTCGCTTCATGCTACAGAAACCGGAGATAAGCGCTGGCTTAATGAGCCACTAAGTTCGAAAGTAAGACTTAGCCGACGTTTACTTGCAGCCCTTAGAACGGTTTTAAATTGAGTGTCGTAAGACCAAAACCAAACCAAACACTTACCAATTAGATTACTCCGCCAATTTAAACCAAAACCAAAGTAATTACCTGTTAACTTTCAACACGCAACTGATAACCGCTCTAAACCTACCTATCAGTGTCCAATTCGGTAAAGTTAGGGAAGGCTCTGTTCCTTATCAACAGCTTCACAGCCTCCAAATGCCCGGATGCACAGCTCCAGTGCAGCGCGGTGATACCGTCCTTGTCTTGGTGATCCATCTCCGCGCCATGTTCAATCAACACCGTCATGAACTTGACAAACCCACCATGAGCAGCGCACTGCAGTGGCGTACGGCTACAAACGAGCAAAGAAAAAAAAAAACAACAATACATCAAGCGCTACCTCAGACATACCATGGTCAGTTGATGGGAGTCTGGGTACTAGCCCTGCCCAACTGTTGGAAGTCTGGGTACTAGCCTGGCCAGGGCTTTTTTGCTCAACACAGAAGTGCTTACGACAAAGCGACCTTTCGTGACAGACTAGTCTACGTAAGCGTGACTTTCCGTTACAAAATAGTTAACACTACTGCGACCAAGCGCGACAGAATCACTCGCGTTAGCGTTGGTCAGACATGACAAAGGCCCGGTCCACACTACTCTGGAGAAATTTGAAAACGGAGTTTTCACTCTGTAAACGCATCAAATGTCTTCCGTCCACATTACGGCGGAGAAATGTGAAAACGCAACAACCACCGGCAATCTTGGATTTGTGTTTGAGGAAAATTTGGTCAGGGAAATCACATGATTTATTGCAACGCTATCGTTTTCAAAAAGCTCCGTTTTCAAAATGTTTTCCGTCCACACGAAAACTAAAAGCCGGCGTTTTCAAATTCCTCCAGTTTAAAGGGTGCTTTCGAAAAGCTCGGTTTTCGTGACGGATTAGTGTGGACGGTAGGACTAACCATAGAAACAAAGCTGCGTTTTCAAATTTCTCCTACGTAGTGAGGACGAGGCATGAATCATGAGCATCGCCATGACTGAGTTATGTATGGATAGGAGATCATTTGTTCCGTGGGGGGAGGGCAGAAGACAGAATTACTCACCCCAGAGAGTCCTTGCTGTCCACTGCCAAGCCCTGCTCTATCAAAGCGACACAGATAGGAGCATGACCTCCAAGAGCTGCCCAGTGAAGCAGTGTTCGGCCATCTTGGTCTTCTAAGTTCACAGTGGCACCATCTGCAACAAAAGATTCACTTGTTAAGGTTATTCTACAGATAGTCATAGAAGAAAGATTAAGATAGATACCTATGAATTCCGGTTAAAAGTCTTTTGTTCAAGAGATGGTGGGTGGGTGGGTCGTGGGTATATTTGCGGGGGAGGATAACCATGATTGGAGGGTGTGGGGGGGGGGGAGCTTGTCATTGGGAGGAAGTTTGCTTTCGAAGAATTTAAGCTGCATACAGGATACTAGCGTGGGTAGGATTGGAAGCATTTCCGCATTTTTAACGAACAAAACGTTTCACGCGGCCAAAAATGCAGAAAAAATTGCTGCATAAGCTGACAGAGCACCGCACGGTAAAACTCTTTGAAATTCTTCAGTCGGAAAAAGGCCTCTGAGCATACTGTAACGACTACATTACAATTGCCGGTTTTCATGTGAGGTCATCAATTTCCAAAATAAGAAATTACCAATCCTTGTGAAGTTTTAGTTTCATCAGATGTAAGACCCTCTAATAATTTGACGTTTTNTGGAAAACCGTACAGACTTAAAACTTGGCGAGATTATTTATATATCAATCATCTTTCATATCTCAGCTTCTTGACTTAATTTATTGAATGGTTACGACTTTTATTTTTGATGGCGTGACACTGCAAACCAGCCATACAATATTTGGAACAGTTACATTTCCTTTTAAAGCAAGAGCTAAATCTTCATACGAGTCCATAGACTTATATTCGGAAGGGAGGTCGCTTATTTTCAGGGGGCGAAGAAGAGGGAAAGAGGGAATTATCTCACGGCTTTTGCATCCGAGCTTTAGGAGGCTTACTGGCGAGAGAACGTACTCTCGGAATTTAACAGTATGCAACAGAACTGGTTGGAATAAACGATATTCATGGTCGAAACAAGTTGGGGGATACCAGTTTAGAAAAAATGTTTCTTCAACACCTGTTAACCCTCCATGGAAGGATTTGAGTAGATTTAAAATCTATGGGAGGACGCTCGACAACGTGCGGTTAAACGCAAGTAAGAACATGAAATCAAGCCAAATGTCGTTCTGGTTTTATTCAGGTCATGAAACTCGACTTACTCAGAATCAAACTGTTGACGACTTCAGTGTGTCCCATCTCGCATGCGCGGTAGATTGGTGTGTGCTCAAGCATGTCCAGTGCATCAACGCAGGCTCCGAATTGAATCAGCAGCTTCACACAGTTCACGTGACCAGAGTAAGCTGCAGAATGTAGGGCGGTTCCCCCTGTTTTGTCCGTAGCGTGTACATCAAGGTTGCGCTCCAGCATCGTCTTCAGCGCATTTTCACTTCCTGGTGAAATTTAACGATAAACCATTATTGACCACTAAGGAGAGACCGTAGTTATACCGGAAGTTTATAAAGGAAATTATACCAGAAGTAGCTAGCGTCTTCTCTAACGAAATCCGAAGCATTTCTAACTAAAACAACTTGTTGAACGTTTGCGCCAACCTTTTCCAGCAGCCCACATGAGAGCAGTTCTCCCATCTTTATCGGGAATATCTTTAATTTTGTCGAAAGACAGGAACACAGCGACTGTTTCACTAAAGTTGCTTTGTGCGACGTAATGCAGAGCTGTCGCTCCATTGCCGTCGGCCGCAGTGAAGTCAGCATTCTTTTCAAGCAGCATTTTCACTAACTGAGGGTTACCTGCAGAACACAAATTTAAGAGAACATAAATTAGCAGGGATTTATTGAGGCTGCTTCGCCCGAAATACGATTCGCAGATAACGATTCGCCAAGATTGAAAGTCCCTTAGAAAAGATACGAAAGTTAAAATAACGCTGTCAGTCCGGCAGTTACGTGGTCAATGAACACTAAATTTTTCAAGTTCGTCGTTTGTAATCCGCAACAATCTTCTCCATCCTGAACCATCCTTGATCCTTTATGGCATACCATTATCTCTTTGGTGTTTTTTCTACCCCAGAAATTATCATTTTCAGGTGTCCTTCAGTGCAAAGGTAATTTTATACCTGGTGATTGTTGCGTTTTCAAATTCCTCCGGCGTAGTGCGGGCGGAAGACATTTGTTGTGTTTTCAGAGTGAAACCGCCGTTTTCAAATTTCTCCGACGTAGTGTAGACGGGGTCTTACGAGGCACACGCTCTTTGGGATGATGTGGCGAGCCCAAAGGCGAAGGTGCACACAGTCTTGTAGAATGCCAAAATAATGATTTTTCCAATTATACTTCGAAGTTTAAAATTTAACAAACCTAACACTGCAGCCCAGTGGAGAGGAGAACGGTTCATGTTATCTTGTGCTGACACTTTGCACTTGTCAAGAGAAAGCAACACTTTGACGGCGGCTTCATTCTGATGAGCTACAGCAAGATGCAGGGCAGTTCTTCCCTCACTGTCT